GTCATAAAGGTCACGGTCGTAAAGGTCACGTTCCTGGGATAGGCTGAAACTGCAGTTAAGTCTTGGTTTGTGTTGTTGGGGCCCAGGGCAGGCCTCCCTCACATATCCCACAATAGCATATTGATTATTTTGAATTAAAATTACTTGAGAAGCACAAAGGGCATTCTGACCCTCCTGTCTCTGTGCCCCTGAGAGCAGGAAATCAATCTCCCTGTGGAAGGTGCTCTCCCTGCATCCTTGTCGCAGAGCTAGGAATTCAGGGCTGAGAAGCCTGCATCAACAAACCTTGCCAATTGACTACCTCGAGCCTAAACTCTGCTTAAATTCCTCACTAATTACGTACCCCAAACCTAAGTTTCTTTGTCCTGTCAATTCTTCACAAATTCATTATTTCTTTGTGTAAAAGATATATATATGGCCTGCCTTGTTCACTCTCTGAGCATCATTTCTTATGATCTCCAATACATATGTATTAAACTTGGTTTTTCTCCTGTTAATCAGGTCTTGTGTCAATTTTACTCTTACTCCAGCCATAAGAACACAAGAAGGGAAGGAGGGATTTTCCACCACTCTGATACTGGTGTGGGGGCAAATGACTCTGTTTGGGGCCTGTTATTTCTTTTTTAACAATTCTATTTAGAGACGCTTTTAAAGACCTAAATAAATGAAGATATAAATAGTATGTATAGGTTGAAAGACTTTGTTTTTTAAAGTGTCAGTTCTTTCTGGATCTTGAGATTCAATGGAACTCCAGTTGGACCCCACCAGAGGGTGTGTGTATGTGTGTGAGGGTTGACTCATTAGTTCAGACAGCCTCACACACTAGCAAGACATAGAAGACCACCACAATAAGCAGTGTAGTTTTGGACCAGGGACAGAAAAATAGAAAAATGAACAGAACCGAAAGCCCAGAAACTGATCTGCACACAGAGAGCACGCATGCGTTCTGCGGGCAGCAGGGGGGAAGTCATTCTTACGGTTACTGCTCAAGTGAGGATTCTGAGGGTGAGAAAGGTAGAAGGGGGAGGGAAGGAGCTGGAGACCACCATCGCCCTCATCAGCTCCCAGAGCCCGAGGACAGCAGGAAGAGCCCTTGGAAGATAATGTGGGACAGTAGCCTCATGCCCTCAGGGTGGGGAAAGATTTCCTGTCGAGATGCACAGGATAAAGGAGAAGAGACAACTGAAGGACCACAGAAGGGGTGGGAGCAGGTAGAAACTCCTAGCCGTGGGGTAGAAGGCAGGCCTGCAGGGCAGGGGACAGCTGATGGGGTGCTGGCACGGGGCGGGGTGGGGGGTTGTTTCCTAGGGCTGCTGCAGCAAAGTACCACAAATGGGGGCACTTCAAACAGTAGAAATATGTTCTCTCACAGTTTTGGGGGCTAGAAACCCAAAATTAAGGCATCGGCAGGGCCGTGCTCCCTCTGGAACCTGTAGAGGAGGCTCCTTCCTCGACTCTCCTGCTGTTGGTGGTGCCGGC